AACCAGCTGTGCCAATACTTTCTTGATCCATTGATATATTTCAGCAAACGAGAAACGAGAGTTTAATCAATTCTTCAAAGTAGAGTATTCAACTGTAATTAATTCAAATAAATCCAAGTTCGTAAAGTGCTTTGCAACGTTTAATATTAAAGTGGCCAAAGGAGAAATTTAATTGCAGTTGCCGGAATAGCAATTGTACAAATGGAATCAATAAAGATTCAAGCTAACGTAATTTCAACTGCGATCGATTGAATATCAATTATAGAGCTTCGTATCTACGATATACTCTTTCTACAGACAGCTATCGCCGCAGTTTTAATTGGAAACGAGCAGAAGGAACCGATTAATGCAACCGTATACGATTTGTTTTCCGTTTATTTTTGATTTTGAAGGAGATCTATAGCTTGGATTTATAAAGTTTTTCTGAAGTGGTAAATTGAATAAGAAAAAGAAAATGAATGGTACAGAAAATTGATTTAATATCTTTCAATCTCGAAACAACACATGAAACATTTTTTTTGGCTAATCGAGGACAATAATTGGAACTGAAAGAACTGAAATATTTTTTTTTAGAAAAGAGAAATAGATGAAAAGCAAAACAGGAAAACATCAGGAATTATCTCAAACAATAAAACTCATAGGAGTTAAACGTAAAATTAAAGTTAGAAAATGTATAATTAATTGAATGTATAAATTAATTATAAATTTTAGAATTTATAAATTGCTTTCCATGTTGAATAAATTTAAATAAATGAATTGAATAGACAAATGATAATAAACAATTAAAGAGATGAATATTCATCTTAAAGGTTGATCTTATTAAAAATAAAATTTAAAGAGCTAAGTTTACAGAAAGAGGAGATCCAATATCGGTTAAACATATTACAAATCATATTAATATTATTGAAGATACAAAATTAATTATTCCTTAGTGGAAATAAATCGCCTTACTTGAACATAAATTAAACGTCAACAGAATAAACTTGGCGAAACTGAATCGTGAGAAATTATTACATAATGTAAATAGTAAATTTTCAATAAATTTTAATTTCATTAATATTATTATTCTCATTAATATGGTTCTTATATGAACAATCGAAGAAGTAGCTACAACTTATTTTATATTTATATACAAACTTGGAAATAATATTCCAAACAAATTAATCGTAAATTTATATTTATTAAATGTTATTATTATTATTTATAAAAGTTATTTATTAAATTTATTATTTATTAAAAGTTATTAAATAAATATAAATTTATTAAATAAATATAAATTTATATATATATAAATATATATATAAATATATATATATATATATATAATTCGTAAAATGTCATAACGTCAGCAATGGAAAAGAACGAAATAACTATTCGGGAGGTTGTGCATCATGAAGAATCAAGAACCGATTGAGAGAATGATGGAACGTCTAGAACGGAAATAGAAAGCATTTCGGAGTGGTCTGCGGCTTTCTGGCACTCGTCGGATTTGCCCTCGAAAGCCGTGGTGTCGCGTGTAACCGAAGACCGTGGTAATTCCAACTCGAAAACCATCGTGTGTGCATTACTTCGAGGTTGTGCCGGTGATTAGCTGTTTCTCGGCACGCGATACCCGAGGCCCGGTATTCGGCCAGATTGATTAAATTCACATTCGATTGCTACCCCGCAGCGGAATCTATCCCCATTCTGATCGTTCAGGGCATTGCGAGGATACTCTGATTTTTCACCTGTTAGTCACATCGACGAACTCGTTAAAGATGTCATTGGTGCTCAAATTTGTCAAACTTTTTTGGTAGATTGTAGATTCTGCAATTAGCATTGCAGAACTCTGGCACAATTGAACTGAATAGTCTTATTTATAGTATGAATTAGCAATACAACAATTAATATGAATTGATATGAATCAATATGAAGATGAATTAATTATGAATATGATTTATATTATATGAATTGATAGTAATATATGAATGTTTATAACATAACTTGCTATGTTCTTTTCATCATTTTTGATTGGATTATATTTTTCTGCCACTAAAAATGTATTTTATGACTGATATTTTATATTAAATGTTTTCTGAGAATATTAAATCAACTTTCTTGCCCATTAGAATATGGATGAAGTTGATATATAAGTATACAAAAGATATTTATTCAGTTAGAGCAACGTTATTAGTGGAATTATACGCAATTACAACTTATTGATGAATATTGATGAATTTTTTTTGTACAACAGCAGTCGATGAATTTGTTAATAAAAGAAGTTTCTTAAGTAAATTTTATAAACTACAAACTGTATTGTTCTATTTAATGGATCAAATTGCAAATATAACTATATATAATGAATAAAACTGTGTTTATTGCAATAGAAATCTGCAAACTACAATTTACATAAGTCTACAAGATAAAATTTGTCAATTCACTAATATTACACATGTGTATATTTCTTCCTTTAAAAGAAAAAAAGAAACTTTTATAAAATGAATTTTATTGAGGTTTGTAACTCTGTTATGTTAATTTAATTACTGTAATTTTCTGAAATTATTGATTTGAAGGAGTTTTGCATATGTACATACTTGGAACGCATACAGAAAAATTGCAACAATAATAGTATTAGTGATGAAATCATCTTGTAATTTAAGACAGAATTAATAAACAAGGTAATTACGTTAGATGATCTTTAATTGAAGATAATAACGACCTCGCAAATTATTTGCGGTGCAAGCAAGGAACTTGTTTGAGATGGCTAATTCTCCGTCTTGTTTTAGATTTATTTACAGTATATTTGATTAACATATAAAAATTCTACTTCTCAATTATCACACAGTAATCGATTTGCCACAATAATATCTTTATAAAATTCTTTCTATATCTCTATAAAATTCTTACTGACAGTTGTACAAAAATTCTATGTACCTTCAATTATTATCATACGTTTTGCTGCTTAAAGTAGCACTTTAGTAACTTTAATTCTTTATCTTTTAATGTCAAAATAAGAAACTAGTATAGATAATTGTAGAAACTTATAGGTTTCAGTGAGAAGAATATTCTTGAAAATGAAAGTTTTAGTTTGGACAGATCTTATACAATGT